TCCACTGTAGGCACTTAAAATTAATTGAATAAAACTAATTTATCATTTGTCATCTTATTCGATAGACACTTTATAATACGGGTATACACAATTTTGAATTATGTGTGCGTACCCATATCATAGCAATGTATGTACATACACCCACAAGCCTTTTTGCAATACAGCCCCAGCTATAATAAATCTCATTTTAAGCAACAATGAATTATCAAAATTGCTACAATAGAAAATAGTCCCTTCAGGCATTTGAAATAAGAAAACATACCAAGAAATCATGTAACATGACAGAAGAAGAATATGCCGAGTAGTTATTCAAAAATGCCTTAAGCAGGCCGCAGGGAATACATAAATAATCTGTTGAAAGGCAGCATGAACAAATATTACAAATGCGAGGCAATGACTTGGAATGTTGAAAGTTTATGGGTTATGAGTGAGCAGTGAGCAGTGAGTTTGTTGAGGCGCAATAAATAAACGCTTTATTGTTGCCGCTTTATAAATATTTCATTTTTTTTTTATGAAGCAGATGCAAATACACAACAAATAATTGCTCGGATAGGCATTGAAGCGCAAATGCCTCTGCGAAAATATATACTACTGACTTTCTTCACTTCAGAAACAATGGAATGAAAGAGCGAATAGTAAAGCAAGAAATTGACCCTCATACTGAGCTTAGTATCAGCTCAAGCGGACACGAAAGGCAAGCGAAAGCAGGCAGTAAATTTTATATACATACATGCATACATATACATATAAAAGAAATGAAGAGCAAATAATTGCAATACAAAAGCACACGCCAACTCGTTAATTATGTGAGAAATACCGGTAACTGTTTTTCACGCCATTAAAAGTAATTTATGTCCTTAATTTCTGTGCATGAAATTCGACAAGTGCTGGGTGCAGGCCACCGCCAGGCAATAAGTATTTTGTCTTTAAACAAAGCAACGCGCAGAAATAAAAGGGGTTCAATGTAAACATTATGGCTAAATTTCTTTTAATATGAAAAAATGCGCTCAAACAAAACAATGCTAATAGCCAATTAAGATATACCAATAGAAGAATAATTAAAAAAATGCTTTTTACCCTAAAAATGCCACTGCAACGATTTGTTTTTTTTTTTTTGCTGAGAGTGCCAAAGGATGGGTATTAAATAAATAATAAAAATAAAAAAATGTTAATCCGCGCACTCGCCACGCATAAATACTTGCCACGCTGGACTTTGCCAATTAAGCAGCTATGGCACGTAGCACAACAGCAGCTGGCCGTAGTGGGAACTTAGTCATAATTAGCATTCACCCACTCGTTCGCAAATGCCATTAGCTTAACTTGTGATTAGGCGCAAGTAGAAAGGGCGAGATGAAAGCGGTTAAATGTGTGCACAGACACACACATATTTATTTAAATTCAATTCAACCCAAAAATCGATTTTCAACCACTTCATTCTGAGCTTTGCGGTATGCTACGCTTGAATTGCGATTCTTGCAGCCAAATTTGCCTAACGCTAAACTAAAGTCTAACCACGAGCAATTGCGTATGTTTGTAGAGGTTAATTGTTTGAATAGACGCAATAAGTGAATAGAGTTGGAAGAAGATTATTTTTAGATCTGACGTTTAGCTGGAAGTTATTCTATTGCTAACGAAGTGTTTTTACTTATAGCATTTTGGTATAATGACCTAAATCGAGTGGCAGTACTGTTAAAAAATGGTTGGGATGCAAGTCAAAAAATACATAGATATTTATTTGTTTGATCTGATTCATCGAAATATTTCATCGATGCATATCAATGTACCGTATAAAAATATCGATAACTTAGATGCATCGAATGAATTAAAAATATACACCAAAAAATGAAACAATCGGAATTTCGATAAATGTTTAAGTATTAACGCACAGTGAAATGTATTTCTTGTTTTAAATATACTATTAGAAATTCAACTGTTTTTTCTAGTTTTTTAAGCCCCTTGGAGAGCTCCATATTACTCGAAAGCTGTCGACTAAATAGTTTCGATAACTCTTTACACTCCGGTAAAACGATAATATTTGATAGGCAGTAAAATCCCCATAAGCTGATATAATCCTGATATTTCCAAAACTTCCGAAAATTTCAGTAAATCTAAAAAAATCGACACATGGAAAAATTGAAAGAATACGATAACCCGATAAATTTCGTTAACTCTATAATAATGAAAATTTAATAAACATCGATAGCTTGATAAATTTTGATAATCTCATACATCTTTGTAGATCGATAACTATCCGTGAGTTTCAAAAGCTAATTTTCAGTGTCTATAAATTTCGACAACTCAATAAACATTGATAAATTTGAATAATTTGATACGTTACCTTAACTCAATAAATATGGATAATTCGATAAATTTCGAAAACTATAAACTTCGATGATTCGAAAAATTTCGGTAACTGGAAAACTTTCGACTTAGCTTCGCAAACGCTGGGCATCTAAAAAGGTAGCGTTAAGGTGATTCCACCTCACCATCTTCTAGCCACCTTCGACATACGGGATCAGGAAATATGTTCAGTCTTACTGCGTTAATACTGATTGGACAGTGACACGTTAAAACGTCCACCATGAGTGAGAGTTGTGGCTTGGTTAGTGTAAGGAGTGCCCTCGACCGCTCCCTCTCCACCCTCGCCAGAAGGATCTTGCAATTGTGCATGGCCTGGTTTTGACCCAGCACTCGCTGAGCTGACATGAGACCCATCTATCCAAGAGTATACCACAAGCCATCAATGGTTTCAAGTGTAGCTTTCCTAGTCAATTCGTTAGCCACACAGTTCTCGCTATGTCGCTGTGACCCGGAACCCGAATGAGCATTATACCGAAGTATTCCGACGTTACTGAGAGAGAGAGAGAGAGATGAAATTCTTAAACAAAGTTAGAGCGCACCTCCAACGCACTTAAGGCCCTGATAACCGCTTCGAAATCAGAATAAATGCTTATCTCCCTGACTGTCACTGCACTCCTAAGCAGTGACTCGAACGCCTGCTTGATAGCAGATACTTTCGCCTGAAATACACTGCATCAGTCCGGAATCCTGAACTTAGTCCTGATGGAAAGCTCTCCACAGAAGACCCCTCTCCAGAAGATCGCCCGGCTCAATTCTTACTTGAGGGGAACCAAGCAGAGAAGAAGGGTTCCCAGTCCTTTAGTCGGGCAAACAATCGGGTTTCCAGAGTCTAATAGTCGTTCGCGCTGCTCCTTTAGAAAATTTCCTCTGGGGAAGTTTTGGAAGGAAAGTGAGTATCTAGAAGCAAGCCCAATGACTCCTCGCCACTTACGTCCAGTGTCCTGTCTCATCCCTCATATAACCCACCGGGTCAGGATTCCTAGTGAGAATACGCCTAAATCTAGACGATACATGAAATCTTTTTATGTTTTCGCAGAAATCCATCTAAGTAGCTCTTTTCACCTTTCTGATCTCGAACTAGTAGATTCCCAGTATAACCTTACAAAGCTCCCAATCAGATCGTAGCTTACTCCTGCGGGCTATATTGAATAATCGTCCGCTAGACGCTTTGACATTATCATACATTTGTGGAAAATTTCGGTTCCGGCCAACTTCCCTTAGCTGTTAGAAGTTTAGTAGCAGTATTCCAAAATATCTGTTATCCCAACGATTTCCAGCTGATTTTTGCAAAAAAAAAAATGTGATTTGATCCAAACTTTCGTGCCGGTTTATGCTAAGGTCACTTAGCAAAAGGCCACTTACAAAATCACCTGTCGTATTTACAGAAGCAACACGTTACCTACATTCAATATTTTTTTATGACCAGCTATGATTTTCAAAAAAAAAGGCCAAATACATAATTTATAGCATTAAGCATCTCAACCCACTTTCCCATATCACTCCCGGAAATTTATATCCACATAAAAATTAAATTCGATTATCTCATGTCCGCAATCTGCTGCCAGAAGGTGGGGAGGCGAGAATCGAAGATGGGTCATATACTATTTTTAACATTGTCGATTAAAAGCGTATTGGAAAATTCCATTAGGTGCATGGAAAAATTTCAAATTAGTACCAAAAAATGTGTGCCATGAATTTCGAGGTGTAAACGGAAGGATGTGCAGAAGAGTGGATAGAGGTTGAAAATAGAAATGTTTGCCGTTGTAGTGTGTACAGGATTATTTGTGGTTGTTGTAGAGCTACTATTTTTATAGCGCCAACTGATGTGCAATGAATGTGAAATCAAGTGACAATATCGATTTATTTTATTTTTTTTTTACTCATATAGACGAATATGTAGCTTGAGCAGCCAAAATGTTGCAATACCCTTTAACAATTTTCTAGGTGATCAGAATTTATGAGTCTAAAATGAGTCATCACTTCGTCATAAATATGACTCTGAGACCAGTTAACTTAACTGACTCTTTTGGTGTCATAAATTCTGAGTTGAATAAAAGTAACCAAGTTCACGTAGAGGTAATAATAGAATTATAACGAATATTTGTTTTTAATAATCAGAAAGCTTGGTTTCACGTTGGCCTTGCCTTCATAAGAAAGCACATATCGTCGCTCGAATAAAGAAACAGTGTAAATGCCACATACACTATTATTCGATAATTCCACCACTGGATAGATAATCCTGTAATCTATTAGAAAAATTTTTAGTTTTCTTAAATATCTCTTTGGCTCACTAATTTATTCCCGAAAAATGAAATTGTATTTGTATGGTTTGTAATGGTTTATAAAAACTTCCAATTCGTTTTTCTCAAAACTATACTTTTCATGTTACACTATTTCATAATTCCAGCGACGATATTCTCTTTTCTGACTCTATTGTTTCAGCTCATAATGAGCGTTACAACTCTGAAATCTGAGACTTTTCTGACTCTAAAATTAGTACGACTGTTTTTAAAGGGTATAAAGCGAGTACAAATTTCATACGAATTTACTTAGAATTCTTCTCTAACGCCCTGCGAGTAATAAAAACTTTTACGTACATTCAGCTAATTAGCCGCATACTTTGACAGTTACGAGCGCAGTATCCCCGCAAACATATTCTGAACGCTCAGAATATATGAGTCGGAAAGGAGTCCTAGGTAAGTAAGAAATAT